CAGATTCACAGCACGTTCCATGTCTCTGAGCTGCGGAAGTGCTAAGTGGATGATTACGCAGTGATACCGCTGGAGGATATTCAGGTGGATGACCCCCTGAATTATATTGAGAGACCGTGGCTATTCTTTACCGGAAGATGAAAACCTTGAGGAACCAGGTTGTTGAGTTGGTAAATGTGCAATTACAACACCTCAAGGGTTCGAAGTGGACTTGGGAGCTGAAAGATGATATGAGGGATCACCACCCAAAGTTATTTGAGGCATCAGACTTCGAGGATGAAGTATGACTTAAGTGGGGGAGAGTTGTAACACTCGATTCCAGGTACAAAAATCATTTCGTTTACATATGATTTTTCCTTTTGAAGGCCACGACATGGTGAATCCTCACCACGACGTGACGATGAGTTTTGGGCCGTGGGGTTTAATGAGCCACCATAACGTGGTGAGTGTGCCACGATGTGGTGGTGATTGTTGGGAAAAAACCTATAGCTTAAGGGTTGATCCCTATTTAAAAATCCTCAACCCTTCTTAGCTTCCATCCCATCAGCCTCCATCCATCCTAAATCGTCCCTTGCAACCTTAGAGCCCTTGTGTGAGTTTTTGGCCTTAAAGTGTGTGATTTTGGTGCTTGTGGAGGAAGAAGGTGGTGGAAGATCACATTGGGAGTCTAAAGCACATAATATCCATGAGTTTACCTTCTTTTAGCATCTCAATGAGGTATAAAGTCTTTATCTTGATAAGTTAATGAAAGACCCTAACTTTCGTATATTTGAAAGACCCAAACTTTCATACTTCACAATATCATTACTCCAAAACATGCTACTTGCATATTCATAAAAACAATATTTTACATTGATAAAGGGATTACAAACTATTGGATACAAACCGTCTATTACAAAGTGTTATATATTACATAACTACCCAGGATATTGTAATTTATACAAACATAAACTGAAGTACAAGAGTACTATTACAAAATATTCTAAATCTTTCAACAATATGTGAACATACTAGTTACTTATCACCTGCAATTGTTAAACATTGATAGGGTAAGCGATGACGCTTAGTGAGTTCAATAATAGATACAATATAACGTTATGCCATATATATACTTCAATGTGGCAAAAGCAACAACAAGATGTATGTGAGATCATGTGACAAGCGTTCATATCAATCAAAGATTTTATTCAAAGATATATTTTTCAATTCTTGATATACATCAATAAGACTTTGGCCCAAATGGCATAAAAGACATGCAATTTCTGATTAGCATCTTGTTAGATTTCAGGCTTATAGTCATGTCTAACCATTTGCCAATGCCATAAAATAGAAGTTATTCTCTTACGGAGACATCCTCTACATGGTCAGAGACTACGTACCAGTACCAATGTAAATCTAAGTCATTTCACTGATCACATGGTCAAAGGTATTACATTTGCTATAAACATAGCGAATAAAATAACACGGGAAAATAACTCAGAATAATAACACTGAAAAGCACATAGCACATATAACACATAACATACAATTGTTCCTATATATTGAACTCACCTTAAGTTAACCGGGGGTTAAAATAGTAATTTGGGCAACACTTCGGCTTTAAATATGACTTTCTATGTTGAAAAGCGGGAGCTTAATTGAAAACCGGGCTCTGCGAAGGTAGGGCTTCAAAACCGAAAAGATAAATTTTCCGGGCTTCTCGTGGGTCTCGGTACGTGTTTCAGGTGCTAAAATTGATATCGGGGATTTGGGGAAAGTCAAAATAGTGAATATATGAAATTAGGGTGAAAAAATGTCAATTTTTCAAAGTTACCCGGGAAGGCTCGCAACCTCCCTTTATATAGGGTGAAAGGGTTCGGAATTAGTGGCTGGGAGGTGTCCACATCGCGCCTGCGAGGCTCGGTCCGGAGGGGGTGACGAAACTGCTCGGTGGCATCAGCAGCGAAGGGCAGGTGGCGCGAGAAGTGAAGGCCACTAGGCCTGCTGCGCGGCTCGGACATAGAAGCGATGCGAAGGGCGCGTTAGGGGCTCGTGGCTGCTTCGGATTGGGACATGCGTCACTTCTCAGGCTGGGCCACGTCTCCGGTGACGCACCTGCTTCGTGCGAGGTGATGTGGTCGGTACTATTCATCCGAGATTTCTCGGTTTTCGGGCCCCGAACTTCTAAAATCCATAACTTTCGCATACAAGCTCTGTTTTTGACGTTCTTTATTTTTAATATGCTTTGGGTCAAAATTGCATGTTTAGACTTCGTTGGCTAATTTTGACTTTATTTTTAATATTATTATTTTTAACAGACCGGGATAGGAAAATCCGTTAAAAATTCATAACTTCTTCACCCGACATCCGTTTTCGTCAGACTTTTTACCGTTGTACTATAAATGACGAGACATTCGATTCTTATTTAGGATGTATCGGTTAAATATCGCTCGATCTAAAATTCGAGTTTTTAGTTGTCTACTGCTAAGTTGAAACTTCGAAAAATCATAACTTCTTCATACGAAGTCAGATTTTGGCGTTCTTTTTATCAAATTTTTCGGTTTAACGAATACTACGACTTTCATTTAGATTACTAAGGCTAAAAAGTAGTTTATCAAAAACTTGCTTTTTACGTCATTCGGCGTCGTGCCGATTTTGTCGCGGATCTTCGGTTGGTCATAACTTCTTCGTTATAACTCGGATTTCGACGAGGTTTTCGCCTACAAGTTTCTAACAAGATTCTCTTCAATATCAAATAATAAAATTTTACTTATTTAAAATTTTATATTTTCGCTAAATTTCACTATTTGGCTTTTAATTGGAATCTCATAAGACTTCCAATATTTTATGAGTGATTCTAAACATAGTTTTACTTCATTTCCAGTAAAAACCATATGTTAGAACTCAACACTCAATTTCACATAGTATTTCACAATTTTTATTCATTACAAAACACGATTTCAAAACGTGTATGTTATAGTTAATGGATAAATCTTTGGATTTTCCCCCTTTTTCTCTATATCTTGTTGCCTTGGGTGGTTGAACTTCATAAAGTTTGCAACTTTATGAGTCTCCAGACCATTTGGAGCATTTAGCTCTTTGGATCTAGTATAGAATTGAGTTTTGAGAGCATGCATGGAATCTTGGCCTTTTGCCCTATTTTGACCTAATAAGAGTTTAAGACATGCATTGGACATGTATGTCTGCAAAATACCGATTTTTATGGTATGTTTGGTGTTAGAGACTATCTTGAAGCTTTTAGTCAAATAACCTTATGGATTGGATGATTATTGCTTAAGCTATGAAGTGTTTTGTATCTTACAGTTGAGATTTATACATTTTGGAGGGTTCTATTGGATAAAGTTGGAAACTTTATCCATCTAGACACTATTTTGGACCAGATTTGAGTTGGAGATTCTTTGGAATTGAAGAAAGCGGCTGAATGCATTAAGCTGCTGAAAACCCTATTACTACAGTGTGGCGAGGCCACCACGACGTGGTGGCGGGGCGGTTCACGATTGTTTTTTTGTATTCGACACAACAATGTGGTACAAGGGTACCACGACGTGTCGGTTGGCTGAGTTGACTTTTCATGACCTTTTTGGCCATTTGGCTTAGTTGTACCCAAATGGGTATTTTGGGTATTCTAGTTTATATTGAGAATTGGTCTTTTACCCTAGTTTGGACCCTAAGTGTGAGTCAGGATCCAATTATTAATTGGATATTATTTTGTGAGTATAGCGCAGGGGATTTTAGAGGGCCATCAACAAGAGATTTATGTGCTAGGTTCAACGGTCTGATGTGAGTTTCCTCACCATGTTTAGCAGGTTGAAGGCACCAATGACGGCCCATGATTATTATTATAGGATGCTAGATGTTTACGTGACTCTTACATGTGTTATGTGTTGGTATGTATACTGAGCGAGACTCGATGCCAGGCAAGGCCCGATGACTGTATTGTATGCTATTATATTTTGTGATTATCGCATGTGTTATCATGATTATATGTTATATGTTTTTAGAGTAAATTACTGAAATCGTCCCTATGGTTTGGTCAAAACTACACGTTTAGTCCATAACTTTTTTTTTTTGCACTCGGATCGTCCATGTGGTTTGATTTTGTTGCGTTTTCCGTTCCTATAGTTTGGTCAAAATTGCATGTTTGGTCCCTAATTTTATGTATGTAAGGGACGAAAAACGTAACAAAATCAAACCACAGAGACGATCTGAGTGCAAAAAAAGTTAGAGACTAAACATATAATTTTGACCAAACTATATGGACGATTTTAGGAATTTACTCATGTTTTTACGTGTACCAGGCGGGGTCTGGTGTCAGGCGGGGTCTAATGAATGACAAATTTGTAATCTGAGCGGGGCTCGATGTCAGGCGGGGCTCGAGGCCGAATGGGATTCGATGTGGGGCGGGGTCCCAGTATGTGTTAAATTATGTATGATATGTGATAGTTTGGAGAACTCACTAAGATTTAGACTTATAGTTTTCAGTTTATATTTTATGTATTTTAGCATTGAAAGGGAAAAGCCTGAGATAATTGCAAAACACACACCACATTTTTCCGTATTTTGAGATTTACTCTGATATGATATGATGTAGTGACATACTTTAGTCTTTTTGGGTTGTATGATAATGTTTGGATTATTGTTTTATAAAATTAAAAATGAAAATTTTAGGTATTGTTTTTAGGATGTTACAAAACCGCATTCCACTCCATTTGGTCTACGTTTCCCTCTCTTTCTTGATAAATCATTCCCTTTGGGCATAAAAATGAGTCCAAAATCGGATGAGATTAAAGAAAAGAGAGACAAAGGTAAAGTTAAGTTGTTTACCGCAGGTAAACAAGTAATTTTGTCTCCGATGGATGAAAAGTGTCACTTGCAAATAGATAAGGGACGATTTATGTAATCCACTGAAAAACAATAATATTAGGCTTTGCAACAGACATCTTGACAGAAAGGACGACCAATTGGAGCAACCTAACAACAGTATTTTGCCCCTCTTCGATTTTTGACAATTCGTCTGAGATTTTGCAGCCGATCACTTTCCGGCGGGCCATTGTGTTGTCCCACATCTTCTTTTTCATCTTCTTCAAAATCGAAGGATTAGCGCTTTATTCCACTTGAATATACAATAATGGCAGTATTCTTCTTCTAGGGTTACTGAAAACCCTCCCCCTTACTGAATTCAAAGAGACAGGGAGGGGAGAGAGATGTCTCGCCAAGCGACGACGACCGCCTTTCATAAGTCGAAGACCCTGGACAACAAATATGTAAGAAATGTTCATGATTTCGCCCAATTTCTATAGGGTATTTCGTAGTCTTATCCCCTTCGTTCCAAAAATTGGTGCTATCTTTTTGACTTTGGATGTGAAATCTCGCACTCTATGAATATGAATTGATGTGGTTTTGAAGTTTTTGGAAATTTTTGGTTAATTACTCTAAATTTCGGAAGTAATTTGATGCAATAATGGTGATGTTATATTTGCATCACACTCCATAACTATTGCATTAAAAGAGTACCGACGTTTGACATCAGTACTCAAAAGACGGCTCTTCCATGGGAATCCAGTTGAGCTCATGTTCTAGACATGTAACGTTGTTTTAGATTACAAAGAAGATATGAGGTTGCTTATTGTTGTTGTTTCTCTTTCCTATAGCTAGAAGTTTTTTGAATTTTAGTCCATCTTTTGGCAAACAACAGCACTTCTCTAGACCTGTTTCATGATCGTAGCAATGTAGCTTTGTGAAATAATTTGTGTAGTTGGAAGTCAACCAGATGTAGCTTGAGATCTCATAGCTAGGTTTGTTGGTACTATCATTTCTATTCTTGTAATGATGTTGGAAACTATTAGTGAAATACCAAATCCGTTGTGGGATTTATCCCCTTAGTGGAATGCTATTTTTGTTATGATCTACTTTCGGCATATGCTATATCTTCATACTGGATTTGAGTGTGCTATTTCTTTTATGTTTTCGAAGATGCTCGGAGATGAGATTGGGAAAGGAGCATATGGTCGAGTTTACAAGGGTTTAGACTTGGAGAATGGAGATTTTGTTGCAATAAAACAAGTTTCTCTGGAGAATATTGCTCAGGAGGACCTCAACATTATCATGGTACAATTTATCTCCTTCTTTTCCTTTTAATATTTCAAACATGCTGTCATGTGCTGTATTTGATATATGGTTAATTAGCATATGATACTCAACCACTTACATTCTGTATTAACACATTTGTTGCTTTCTATATGGATAAATTGTGAACCAATTGGACGTGGTAACTTCTCAGCAAGAAATTGACTTACTTAAGGTACTACTTTTGTTCTAACTTTATAGTTATTTTTGTAACATTGCAGGAATATTCTAATGTTTTGTAAACCATATGATGCATTTCTTTTGATACAGAATTTGAACCACAAAAATATAGTAAAGTATCTTGGATCCTTAAAGACAAAGACCCATCTTCATATAATTCTTGAGTAAGTGTGTTAAAATTTATCAACCTTAAATACATTTATCACTTGTATTAGTTTTGAAAGTGTGTTTAATTGGTGATAATCTTTTTAATCTAAGGTATGTGGAGAATGGTTCACTTGCAAACATTATCAAGCCAAACAAATTTGGGCCATTTCCTGAATCACTGGTGGCTGTTTATATAGCTCAGGTTTGTTTCTAACATTGAACTTATGTACCTGGTTCAAATTTTTGATATAAATATTTCTGACTTTAATGCATGAGCAGGTTTTGGAAGGCTTGGTTTATTTGCATGAACAGGGGGTTATTCATCGAGATATTAAGGGTGCCAATATTTTGACTACTAAAGAGGTAAGTATAAGAGTATTTTTTTTGTCTTTGCCCTTTTAGCTCTGAAATTTATCTTACCTTTTTACCTCTTTTGGCTTTTCTTTCCAGGGTCTTGTTAAGTTAGCAGATTTTGGGGTTGCAACAAAGCTAACAGAGGCAGATGTTAATACACATTCAGTTGTTGGCACACCTTACTGGATGGCTCCTGAGGTATATATATTTATATTTATATATTCTTATTTTTTTTTTTTATAAAAACTCGATCTTTCCTGTATAATTTTTTCTTCTTTAGGTGATTGAAATGTCAGGAGTTTGTGCTGCATCTGATATATGGAGTGTTGGTTGTACTGTAATTGAGCTACTTACTTGTGTGCCTCCTTACTATGATCTTCAACCCATGCCAGCTCTCTTTAGGATTGTTCAGGTATTCTATCATTGTTGATTTACCATGTCCTGAAATCATTGTTACTGAATTTCCTAAATTGCCCTTCAGGATGAAAATCCTCCAATTCCAGATAGCTTGTCACCTGGTATCACAGATTTTTTACGCCAGTGCTTTAAAAAGGTAAAGTGTAAAACAACTGTCTGGTTTTATGCTTCCTTTTTTACTTTTCTTGTAGTTATCTATTTTCTCTGTTTTAACATTAATTTTCATATTTCAGGATGCTAGGCTGAGACCTGATGCAAAAACACTTCTTTCTCACCCTTGGATACAAAATTCAAGGCGTGTTGTATTGCAGTCTTCACTTCGCCATAGTGGTACACTCAGGTAATTGCTGTAAGGATAAGGATTATATATATTTTTATATAAAAATCATGTTTTTATATTCGAAGAGCATCTATTTTTACAGGAACATAGAAGATGATGGCTCAGTGGGTGCAAAAACTTCAAATGCAGATGATCTAACCACTGTTGAGAATCTCTCTGTGGAGAAAGTCAAAGTATTTATTTCCTTGTAATTAAAACTAATAAGTACAAAGTTTCAAACACTCTTGTATTACAGTATATAATTTTTTTTTTAAACTTATTGATGTTCCGAATTTCAGGAAGCTAAAACAGAGTTGCTATTGGCTGAAGCTACTCTTGCTGGCAAGTCATATGAGGAAAATGATTCAAGTAATGAAAAAGCAGATGTATCAGAAGACGATGTTGCAGTTGCCACTTTAGCTATTCATGAGAAATTACCATTAGAACCTTCATCTGTAAACAATGAAACTAATCAAGAACATGCCCATGAGAAGCTACTATCAGAATTAGGTGCCACTGAGATAACGATAACAAATGGTGACTCAGAGTCAAAATCAAAAACTACAAAAGTCAAAGAAAACGGAAGTTCAGTTACTACTGAAACCAGTTCAACTACTTCTAGCCACAAAGGCCATGACAACACTTCTCAAAAGTCTATGAAAGCATCAAGAACAGTTGGAGGAAACAACGAACTGAGTAAATTCAGTGATACACCTGGTGATGCTTCGTTGGATGATTTATTTCAACCAATGGATAAAACCTTTGAAGATCGGTCAGCTGAAGCTTCAACATCTGCTTCTTCATCACACATGAATAGTAATAATAATAATAATCAAGGGAACACAGATACAGGAAGAGCTGACTTGGCAACACATTTAAGGGCTACAATTGCTCAAAAACAGTTGGAGAATGAACCAGGTGGACAGTCTAATGGAGGAGATATACTTCATCTTATGATGGGTGTTTTAAAAGAAGATGTGATTGGTATTGATGGTCTAGGGTTTGATGATAAACTACCTGCAGACAATCTTTTTCACCTGCAAGCTGTTGAATTTGGGAAATTAGTTTCTTCATTGAGACCAGAGGAATCAGAAGATGTGATTGTGTCATCGTGTCATAAGTTAACTGTTTTCTTTCAACATCGCCCTGAACAGAAACTTGTTTTTATGACTCAACATGGATTACTCCCTCTTCTGGAATTGCTTGAGGTTCCTAGGACACGGGTATGTTCAATTCAAAGTGGCTTACTACTTACTAATCTTGTTCTTCTATTATTATTATATTAAATATTTTAGTAATATATTTTAATGCTATTCTTTAGGTGCAGGTTATATGCTCCGTGCTTCATGTCTTGAATCAAATCATCAAGGATAACACTGACTTTCAGGAGAATGCTTGTCTTGTTGGACTTGTAAGTATTTAGGGGTTATTTCTTTTTACTTAATCTATGGACAGAATGACTTAATCGGAATTATCCAAAAGAATCTGACTTAATGGATTATGACACCAACCCTTTACCTATAAGGGTAAAATGGTCATTTAGTCTCATTTTATTTACGAAAAAAACCTCCCCAGGTACCTGTTGTTATGGGGTTTGCAGTGCCTGATAGAACAAGAGAGGTTCGTATGGAAGCAGCTTACTTTTTGCAGCAACTTTGTCAGTCAAGGTATAAAATTTTCTCATTTTCCCTAAATTTTCTAATTTCTTTGTGTTTATACTATAAAAAGCTGATTGTATTGAGGTGGAATATTTTTGTTACAGCTCATTGACGTTACAAATGTTTATAGCATGCCGTGGGATACCTGTTCTTGTGGGATTTCTGGAGGCTGATTATGCAAAATACAGGTTTTTAGTTCTTTTTAATTTGTATAATTTCATACAGAACTGAAGCAATTATGATTACATTCTAGAATGTGGATGCTCTAATGAACCTTTTTCCAAATTCCAGGGAAATGGTCCATCTAGCTATTGATGGAATGTGGCAGGTATTTAAGCTTCAAAGATCAACACTTAGGAATGATTTTTGTCGAATAGCTGCAAAAAACGGAATATTACTGAGGCTCATAAATACCCTTTATAGCTTAAATGAAGCAACCAGGCTGGCTTCCATATCTGGTGGAGGTGGCTTTTCAATGGATGGTTTAGGTTTAGGTATAGCCACCCGATCAAGATCCGGTCCATTAGATTCAAGTAGTAACACTTTCATGCAAACTGAAAGTGCAGCCAATGGGATGGATTATGTTGACCATGTCAAAGTCAAACACGGTGTAACAACAGATCAATCATCTTCTCATTCACCTGATTCAAGATTCTTCACTTTAGACATTGATAAACATCATCATCATCATCATCAATCAAGCAACACTAGTGCTGAAGCTCCATTTAATTCAAGATCACCAGATTCCAATACAGTGAAGGAGGAGAGAGGAGATGGTTCACACGATGTTGAACATAAACAGAGACTTTCTAATTTTGGAAGGTTGTCCACTGATAGGCCTAGGAAATCTATGGATGTTGTATCAAATGGGCAAGAAAATGTCCGCCCTCTATTAAGTCTTTTGGAAAAAGAACCCCCTTCACGACACTTTTCTGGTCAACTTGAATATGTTCGCCATTTGACCGGATTAGAAAAACATGAAAGTATACTCCCACTTTTGCATACTTCTATTGAAAAGAAGAACAATGGGCTCGATTTCTTAATGGCTGAATTTGCTGGTACTTTATGACTTCCTTTCTTTTGAGTAAATTACATTTTTGGTCCCATTTTTCAGTTTTGTTCCTTATTTTGAGCTTCTTAAATCTTT